TGGAGGGAGGCTCAGGGCACAAGGGCTGGGGGCTCTGGGCATCCCCAGAGCTGCCCCAGGGGTGTCCTGAGCCTCCCCCTCCCTCTCTGCTCTCCCCACAAGGGCTCCATCGGATTCCCAGGATTCCCAGGAGCCAACGGAGAGAAAGGCACAAGGGTAAGAGCTGCATCTCCACTGCTCCACTCATTTCTCCCTCTCCAAACAGATTTGGGGACCATTCCTTTGCTCCAGAGGCTTTTCCACTCAGGAATTACCCAAAAAGGTTCATCCCAGGGTGAAGTTCCTGCTGCAGGACAGGAGGATGCTGGGGATGGCACATTCCCAATTAAATTCAGGGAATTTTCCCCCTCAGGATATTTTAAGAGGCTCCTCTGAACCTGAATCCTTTGCTCAGACTTTGCTCAGGGCACAAAGAGCTCTTTAATTAACAGTAATTATTAGAGATGGCTGAGTCTGTTCAGAAGCAGCCAGAACCATCTTTCACCCGACTTGAAATTCTAAATGCATGGCTGGGAACACTCTCAGTGCTTTTAATAAGCTGCTCAAAATTCAGAGACACCCTGAAAATCAGGGGGTTTCATCCCCCAGCCTTGTCTCTGCCTCTCACCCCACCTCCACAGCCTTCTCTCCGAGTGGGGAATTGTCTAAATATACTGATTTATTTTTTATCTGCTGCAGAACATGCTGGAATTAAAGGATTCAGAGTACAAACAAAGTCATTTTCTGCACCAGCTCCGGTCACAGTGACAAGAAGGGGGAGTGAGGACAGCAAGTGGAATTAGTTTCCTTTTTACTCTCATTTAAATAGAAATGACTTCTAACAGGCAGCTTTGAGAGGAGCCCAGCAAATATAAATCACTTTGCACTGCATTAATATCCCAGCACTGCAATTTCAGTTCTATCCACCCCCCTTTTTTTATCATTTCATTTCATTTGGAGCTACAAATTCTCATCCCCATCCCTCCCTCTGCTCTGGCTGGGCAGGAAATTCAGAATTACCCCTTTCCTTCTCAAATATCCAGCAATAAAACCCCTGGGCTGGATTTTGGGGGGTGTAGAAGAGCAGGGGAGGGATGTTCTGCTTTGAATCCCTGCACATCCATGAATGATTCTATTCTGGGATGGAACCAAACCCAGCTGGGAGGGGATGGGAAACCTTGCACGGAGTGGGGAAGGTACCAGGAGCTGGGCATTGCTGGGGCTGGAACAAACCCTGAGGGGGTTGAGGGTTGAATTTTGGCATTATCCAGCCTGAAAGGGGCTGGGGAGGGAGCAGATCTGATGGGAAAGGGCCCAGCTTCAGAACCAAGGCATGAGAGGAGAAGAAAAGGCAAAAAAAATCAGCATTTCCCTCACTTTGATTCCCAATGAGCTCCGTGCCTTTAATGGGGGTAGTGAGGATATTTAGTTACACCCTTGGCTTGCCACACATTTCTTCACTTCAGGAATTAAAAAATGGCTTTTTAACCTCTCAAACATTGATTTGTTTCATGGTAATTCCAGTTTTTAATATTTCTTTTTTAATTTTTTTCAATGGGTTCTACCATTTTATACCAAATTAATCAACCTGCATTCACTTTATCAGTGTGGAGAGAGATTTTCATGGACAAATCTTTCCATTAGCAACAAGAGCTCAGCTTGGAAATTTAAGACTAGCAGAAATGTTGATTTTCAGTAACAGCTTTGCTATCCATCTATCATTTTTTTCCCCCTCCCAAGTATCCCATTTGAAAAAAGAGAAAAGCAATTATACACAGAATTATAGGCTGAGCTGGGGTCACTCTGCTCCAGTCCTCATGTTAATTTAAGCCTCGTTGAGTCAGACTTGATAAATCCCCTCTGCTTCTCCTAAGACCACTCAATTTGTTTGGTTTATGAATGTGTTCACATGGAGCCAAGAAATAAAATTTCTATTTTTTTTCTCCCCTTCAGTTCAATGTGGAATAACTCAATGTGGAGCTGCAAAAACCCCAAATCATTTGTTTGTCTTTTCTTTATCACAATATCCCCATTTTGCTCTTCAATTCCCTGGTTTATGTGGCCAAAATCATGCAAATCCCACATTTCTCTGCTGAAATGGAGCTCAGCTTTTCAGCCTGTTGTTCCAGCAGCACAGAGAGTCTTCCCAAGTTGTTAAATAATTCAAAAAAAGGTGAAAATCAAAGGTGGAAGGGCAGGACCTGCACAGGCAGCTGAATTTTAGTGCTGAGGTGCTGAACATTCCCAAACACAAAAGTTCAGCTCGTGGATGTTCAGTTGTACAAAAAAAGGGCTGAAAAGGTAAAATTGGGGATAGAAAAGGGGATGAAGATGTTTAGGGGATGAGGCTGGGAGAACTGGGGTTGCTGGAGAAGAGAAGCTTTGGGGTGAGCTGGTGGTGGCCTTGCAGAACTGGGTGGGAACTTGCAGGAAAGATCTATAAAATCTAATAGACTAGATAAATCTATTTAAAGGAATAAATCTATTTAAAGGAGCCTGAAGTGACTTTGGATGGGGCTTGGAGCAGCCTGGGATGGTGGAAGGTGCCCCTGCCCATGGGGATGTTTGGAATGAGCTGAGCTTTAAGGTCCCTTGCAGCCCAAAGCAGTTTTTGGTTCTCTGTTTGGTGCTTTTGGAGAATCCTGACCCATTAAATCCCCCCAGAGCCCCTCCTCAGCTCCAGGTGGGCTCAGCATCTTTTCAAACCCTGCTCATGAAATCAATAGCTAACATGAATAATAAATCTTATTTTAAGAGCTGTTTTCTCCCTTTAGAAGGGAGCAATAGATTTCCCTGCTTGCCCAGCTTGACAGAGCTCCCCAAATCCAACTTATTTCTTGGTGTGCCTGGAAAAATAATCTGAATTTAGCTGCCTTTCATGTCAAAATCCTTGTTTGACAAATACAGGTCTGTGTATGTTTACAGTGAATATAAATCCTTTGCAACTGCACATGAATGCATGACTAATGACAGCAATAAGCAGGGGGAAATTTGGCTTAAAAATAGAATTGTGGGGGGCTACCTGAGGGGAGGCAGCACCCCCTCCTCCCCCCTGCTCCCAATTTATCCTCCCAGAGCTCCAACAAAACCAGCTGGAATATTTTAAAGCGAATTTTGTCATTAATTAAAAAAAAAAAAATGCCAGCAGGCTTTAATAAATGGAGCTGCAAGAACAAGGAAGATTCAGCAGGACTAATTTTAGCAGCTGCAGGAAAGTTTTGATGGGAAAGTTTTGCAGCTCCTGTTTTATGTCCTGCTGGTTAATGAGTGTCAGAGCTGAGCAGGCTCCGAGGTGATGGATTTGGGGCAGAAAATGGCAAAGGGATATTTTAAGCACCCAGGGAATTGAGGTTTCCTTTCGAGGTGATTGGTGCACCCTGCAGGACCCCAGGGCAAAATCAAACCTCCCCAAAAGTGGTGTTTTGGCCACTTGACACCAGCCCAAACTGGGCTTTTAGGCCATTCCTCTGCTTTTAGGCTCAGCTTAATGTGCTGCCAGCTTTGTTTGCAGCAGGCTGTGCCTTTTCCATGGCAGGATTTATCCCAGGGAACCGAGTGCAGCTGTCAGAGCTCATGAGCTGCTGCCAAACAACGCCTGGAATTCCTTGTTTAGCTCTGAGCTGGGGAAGATTTGGAAATATTGAGGGCAGCCTAATTGGAATCTGTGTCACACCTTCCCAAACCCCACAGGAATTTGTGTCACACCTTCCCAAACCCCACAGGAATTTGTGTCACACCTTCCCAAACCCCACAGCAACCCTGGAGAAGCGGGGTGAGGAACCTGCCCCACATCAGGATCAGTGGGCAAAAGGGGTTACAGGTGGAGCTGAAGAGGTTTTCACTGGGTTTTTGGGATACTGAGGGGATGGCCTCATCTTTGAAAGCATTTTGGGGTTTTAAAGGACTTTTAGTCCTTTTTTTAAAGGACTTTTAGTCCTTTTAAAGGACTAATCTGCTCCTGAGGAGATTCATTCCCTCAGAGAGCAGATGTTGTCTGGGATCGCTCTCCAGACCTGCCCAAGTGCTATAAATCCAAATAAATACAAGAATCAGGAGGTGGAGGTGAAGCTGCTGCTGATTTTTTCCTGGCAGAGGAGAACAGAGGGGTCCTGAGGTTCTGTGTGTGTGTGACAGGCTCTGCTGTGGGTTCCTAATCCCTTCTCCTTCTCCATTCCAGGGCACCCCTGGCAAACCAGGTCCGAGGGGGCAGCGTGGTCCCACGGTGAGCAGCCAGTTCTTCATCCTTGTGCCCTTCAAAACCTTGTACTGGCCAAAGGGACACTGGGATGGGCTTTGTGTCCTCACTGAGGGGGGATCTGGCCTTCAGCAGCTGCACCTGGGACAGGGGGACACAGATTTGGGGCTGGGTGTCTCCACTGAATGTGGTTTAAATCTTTCTGATGACTTTTCTGTCACCCCTTGCTGCTGCTGCTGCTGGGATGGTTTGTTGACCCCCATGCAGCTCAGAAAGGCCTCAAATGTAATTTTTGTGTCTTTTGAAGGGTCCACGTGGGGAAAGAGGCCCCAGGGGAAGCACTGGAAAGCCTGGCCCAAAGGTAAGGCCTGGGGGTTTGAAAGGACTTCAGATGCTGCTCCTGGAGAGATTCATTCCCTCAGAGAGCAGATGTTGTGTGGGCATTGGGCTCACTGTCCAGCTCTGCCCAAGGGCTGTAAATTCACATAAATACAAGAATCAGGAGGTGGAGGTGAAGCTGCTGCGAGTTCTTCGTGGCAGATGAGAACAGAGAGGTTCTGGGGCTGTGTGTGAGCCTTTGGGGTGGTGTCCCAGGCAGTGCTGGTGTGGAGAGCAGCTGATCCATCACCCCCATCTCCCTCCTTTCCTTCTCCATGGAGTTGGGAAAGCTGAGCCCTCCTGAGGCTCATTCCCAGCTCAATGACCCAGCTGCAGAGGATGTGCCCAGGTTGTGGAAATGTGCTGGCCCAGGAGCCAGCAGGACTGTGAGGGCATTCCCAAACTGGAGACCAACACAGCCCCAACACCAGCACAACCTGAACCTCCCCAGCCCCTCATTTTTGGGGTTTAAATAGAGTTTAAACCCCCTGAGAGCCATTTTTGGAGCCGTTTTTGCCTTCCCACTGCCGAGCCAGGATTGGGATTTTTCCAATTTGGGATTTCTCTCCAAACCAACCCCAAGGCATTGACTGATTACCTGAGCACTGATCACCAGGCTTGATGGAAACAAAGCTTTTATTTACAAACAAATCTCTGGGCTTTGTGTTGGCATGAATTTTGGATAAATCTCTCCTCTTTCAGGGTGGCATTGCTCTCTCTGTGTCGTGGAAATATCCCAATCTCCCCAGGATTTTTATCAGGGGATGTGGAGGGAACAAGCAGCTGCTCATTTGTCACTGGCTGCTGTTCCTGCCACAGAATTATTATTATTAGAGAGGCCCGGGGGAGTTGCTGGGGTGTGGTGTCACCGTGGGCTTGGTGCCATCTGAAGCCTTGGCACACAGAAGCTGTGATGTTAATTTTGATATTTTTTTAAATGTTCTCTTGTTTTCCTTCTTCCTAAAAGGGCAACTCTGGTGGTGATGGCCCCCCTGGTCCTCCTGGAGAAAGGGTAAGATGAGCTGAGGGGCACAGCAGGGCTCAGGCTCTGGCAGATGAGGTGGGATTGCAGGCTTGAGGGGTTTTTGGAGAGGTGGATCCTCCTGGGTGCCCTGTTAGCAGAGAGGAGTGGGCAGGAGTCAGGGTGCAGCTCAGCAAAAGGGAAAATAAAGGGAAATTCTGGTTAGAAATGCAAGGTGAAAGGTGCTGGTGTGGAGAGAGGTCCCCCAAGCCACCTCCAGGCCTCAGGTGCTGTCTGAGCTCTCCAGGGAAGGCTCAGGGGGGACTTTGGGTGTCCTGTGGAAGCATCACTCATGGGAGAAGGGACAAGTCACCCCTGGGTGACTGCAGGCAGCCAGAATTCCAGCACTTTCTGGAGGATGTGGTTCTCTGGAACCTCCTGCTGCTTTCTCAGATCACAGTCAGGTGGGAAATCCTCAAACAATGGGACTTCCATGATTTTATCCTCAATTCTGGTTTGGGTTTTTTTTTTTCCCCCACTGGGTTTTGTTCTGTTTGTAATTTTTTTTCTACACAACCACCCAGCATTTGCCTTTCCAGGCCTTTGTGCTTACCTGCTGCTCACACAGAGGGAATATTTGTAATATTTCATATCAAGTGTTGCAGGTTCCTTAACCAACTTCTCTGCCTTGTCCTTCATCCCAGGGACCACCAGGGCCTCAAGGACCAACTGGATTTCCTGGACCAAAAGGGCCCCCTGTAAGTAACTCAAAATCCAGAGGGATAATCCAGCCTTTCCCACCCAGCCTGAGCTGATTCCCTGACAAATTCCCAAGCAAAGGCATCACTGAGACATGCTGCTAACAACCCCATGGTTTCAGATTTTAAATAGCCAAGTCAATTGCAGCTGATTATAAATGTTCATTTCCTACTGACTCAGGATCTCTGGGATCTTTTGTGGCTGTTCTGTGCTTTATTTTCCCTCTGTGGACGTGGAGGACAGCACAGCACTGCTGTCCCTGCAGTTGTTGTACACTGGGAGGAACTCAGAATTGGTTTGGGAGTGATTTCCTGAGCAGCTCCTGTGAGATGAATCCTTTGGGAGATGTGTGGGGAGGAAAGGGGTGCAGCTTTTAGGGTCTGCAGTTCCATTTCCCAGTGAAATAGCTGGGAGTTGAGGCAAGCAGGGCAGATTCAATGTTTGGCACAGTTTTATTGCCAAGCCCTTGGTGATGCTGCTTTTCTCCCACAGGGTCCTCCTGGGAAGGATGGATTGCCTGGGCACCCTGGACAGAGAGGAGAAACTGTAAGTAGCCAAAAAACCTTGGACTGGACATCACTCCAGAGGCTCATTCTGGGTTCTCCAAAGCCTCCTGTGCTGCTGGGGAGATGCAGCCCCAGGTTGGGTGGTTTGGGGTCCCTGAGGGTCTGGCTCTGTGGGAAGCAGCCCATGTCTTCCCACTGCCTTCCCCAGCAAATGAGCATTAAAAAGGTTTTGCACATGATGCATTTTTCCCCTTCTGCTTTTCAGATGATTTAATTAACTTGCCTGGCATTTGCTAAGCAGGGCAGTGCAAACACTGCTCAGGCCAGCATCAGGTGTATATTTACAAGCCACAAGGCTGGCTTTAAACCAAGGGGGTTTTGAGGTACTTTTGAGCCTTCAGGTCAGGATTAACTTAAAGGTGAAGAGTTTTCAGCTGCCAGAGCCTGACATTGAGTCTTCCTTGAGTTTTCCGTGACATCCAAGGTGGAGGGAGCAATGAGAGCTTTGACAGCATCTTCTGAGACTGCAATCAAAAGTATCAACCTCCAGATCTGCAGGAATTAATGGGGAATGATCTTTTAATCATTTTGGGGTCTGAAAGCTCTCCCTAATTGTTTTCCTTAATTTGCCTCTCCTAGGAAAGAGAATCTCTGTTAACCTGTGCCATCAGCCTTGCAGAGATCACTTTCCCCTGCACACCCAGGCAGGAGAAGTCCCCTTTTTGTCCCTTTCCCCCCTCACAGTGCCAAAATGCAAGGAGAGAAGCAAAAAAAAATGAATTAAATGCTCTTTCTACATCAGTAGCCTGGGCAGTGCAGTGCATCTTTGTGCAAGATTGTGCAAGATTGAAATCTCTGTGTCAAACACTTCCCCTTATTGAAGTTCCCATTCAGCAGCAAACAGGCATGCTGAGATATTTGGCCATATTAGATTTGCAAAGATTGGCTTTAAAAAAACCATGACAAATTCTAAAGGCTCTGTGCCCAAGGCTCAGAGTACAAAAGGAAAGCCCTTTCTTCAGGTTAATAAGGAAAGTCCTGCACAGAAATGATCTAAATATTTGTCTGTGATAAGAGTTTAAATTGCACCTTCATTTCCCAAGGATATTTTGCCATTTCCCCACCAGTGACAGGACATTTTCTGATCTGCAGGCAGCCAGAATAGCATGGAGGAGTTATTTAAGCATGACAGGCTAGCGTTGGCATGGGATTTATCTGATCCTCTTTTGTGGCAAGCAGAGAATAGCCCGTGTGCCCTAAATGCCATTCCTCAAGCTTGTCAGCAGGCTGGAGTAACAACCATAATTAATGTGCTTTTTAAGGAGTAGCCTGGGAGAGCCAAACAATTGCAGTGGTGAGAGTTGCTCGTTGTCACTCTTCAAAATGCCATTGGAAGGAGCTGTCAGGGAGACTTCCCTGCTCATCAGCCTCTGCAGACAAACGGGGCTGTGCTTCCTTTCAGCAAATGTTGATGGAGGAGATAAAACTTCACTCAGCCCCCGTGGGTTAAGCTGTTCCTGAGCTTCTGGGAGCTGAGCTGAGACAGAACCAAGCCTAAACCAGCACCAGAATGGGCAGGAGGAGAAGGGAAACAGCTTTTAAGAGTTACTCAGCATGAAAAAATTCACACTGATTTTAAAAGCCATTTAATAGCCATTAATGGCGTTTTTAATTGCCATTTCCTCCATGGTTTTATGAGCGGAACAGATTTTTATAGATATACATATAAATGGCCAAAGCACAGCAGCTCCATCCAAACAGCAGGGCTGAGCTTTGAGAATCCCTTCTTCCTCCATTTCACCCTTTGTAAATGCACAAAGACATTTTTCCCACTTTCTATTTGATTTCTTATTTCATTTTCATTCGGGTGCCCACTCTGGTCAGGAGGAGGAACAGTTGGTGGCAGTGTGACCCTCACAGAAATGTCACCTCTTTGTCTTTTCCCTTTCTCTAACAGGGTTTCCAAGGCAAGACTGGCCCTCCAGGCCCCCCTGGTGTTGTAGGGCCTCAGGTAAGAAGCAAATGCTCACCCCTGCTTGTGCAGCAGGGACTCCTTTTCCAGGGAAGGCAAAGCCTTGGCAGGTGGCTTTGAAATTCCTGAGGCAGGTGTGAAATGCCCACCATGGCCCCAGCTCACCTTGCTGAGGGGTTGGGATGGGGTTTAGAAAAATGTAAATGTGGTGGTTCCTGTGAGCTCAGCACAACCACCCTGGTGTAAAACCGGAGTAGGGTGAGAAAAGAGCTGAAAAACACAACCCAGATGAAAAGCACAAAACAGCTGAAAAACACAAAAGAGCTGAAAAGCAAAAAACAGCTGAAAAACACAAAAAAGCTGAACAACACAACCCAGCTAAAAAACACACTGAACAACACACCCAGCTGAACAACACACCCAGCTAAAACACACAACCCAGCTGAAAAGCAAAAAACAGCTAAAAAACACAAAAGACCTGAAAAGCAAAGAACAGCTGAAAAACACAAAACATCTGAAAAAGACAACCCAGCTAAACAACACAACCCAGCTAAACAACACAACCCAGCTGAGCAGCACACCCAGATAAAAGACACAGCCCAGCTGAAAAGCACAAACCAGCTAAAAAACAGCCCAGCTGAAAATCACAGCCCAGCTAAACAACACAACCCAGCTGTAAAGCACAAAACATCTCAAAATCCACATCCCAGCTCAAAGGCCTGCAGCAGCCAGGGGGTTAAATGAGATCTCCAAGGGCTGAGCAGCTGCTGGTGGTCAGGGCAGAGCAAACGTGATGCCAGAGTGCTCTTCCATGTCACTGTGAGGAAAATCATCCCTCTTTCATCTGAAGGGCTGCCAGGTTCTGTCAGGGCTGGGCTGGTTTGCTTTCAGTCACCTCAAACAAGCACAAGCACAATTTCCAGTGAGCCTGCACTGAGCTCAGGACTGGCTTTGGGTCGAGCCTTCTTCCCTGAGCTGCTGGGGAGCAGCTCCTTAATTAGAAGGCAATTAATTTGTCCTCTTTAATGACACCATAAAGCCCCTGATTTGTAAATTCCCTGATTAGGGGCAATCCCCTGACGGCTGTGTCTGTCTTCTCAAGTGCAAATTAGGCTCGGTGGCAATTTGGTGGGGCTCTGCTGGGTGCACTTGCTGTGAGCTGTGGCTGCTGAGTGAGCTCTGCGTGCTCTAAGCGCCCTCCCTGCAGCAGGACATGAGTTACAGCCCTGTCCCCAAAGCCACCAAGGGGGCAGGGACGCCGTGGCTTTGTGCATGTGGCTTTTGTCCTCCTAAAAACGAGCCCTGTGTGACATTTGTCACCCTGAGTGCCCTCGGAGGGCAGGAGGCAGGCGGTAATTGCCAGGCAGAGTGAGCCTCATGCATTATTTATGCCCCATCCGAGCAGGAATCAGCGGGCTTGGAGAGTGCTTGGGAAGTTTTCAATTAAAAAGGGAAAGCTAAGCATAATAGTTGTGGTGGTGACATCTCGTTTGGGTGAAATTTGGGCTCACTCACAGGTTCTCAGTGCCTCCAGTCTGCTGTGAGTGATGTTGGAGACTTCCAGAGCAGATGCCAGAGGGGGAATGTCTCCAGGGATTGCTGGTGGCACTGAAGGCTCCTCTTCCATCCCACCCTGCACTTTTCCCTTCCTCAGCTGCTCTGCCCATACCCACCCCATTTTCTCTGACTGGTTTTTTCCAGGGCCCAACTGGTGAGACTGGGCCCATGGGTGAGCGAGGCCACCCAGGCCCTCCAGGCCCCCCAGGTGAACAAGGCCTCCCTGGCCTCACTGGAAAAGAAGGGACCAAGGTAAGGATTGGAATTCACCTCCTTGCTGCCTGTCCCTCCCTGGAGAGGATAACTCAGAAAAGAAATGGAGCTCCTGCCTTGTCCCAGCTGGAGGCTGAGGAGATGAGCTGGGCCTCCAAGGAATGAGCAGATCCTCAGCCCTTTCTCCTTGTCCTTGCAGGGGGATCCTGGTCCTGCTGGTCTTCCAGGGAAGGATGGTCCTCCTGGATTGAGAGGGTTCCCTGGAGAACGAGGCCTCCCCGGCCCCATTGTGAGTAGAACCTGCTGGGTCCCTCCAGTTGTTGAGTTCCCAGTTGCTCCAGTTGATGAATTCCTAGTTTCTCCAGTTGCTGAATTCCCAGCTTCTCCAGTTGTGAATTCCCAGTTTCTCCAATTGTGAATTCCCAGCTACCCCAGTTGTTGAATTCCCAGTTGCTCCAGTTTGTGAATTCCCAGCTGACTTTATTTTCCTTCCTCCAGGGCTCTCCAGGGCTGAAAGGCAACGAAGGTCCCCCAGGCCCTCCAGGCCCAGCCGTGAGTATCCCTGTCCCTGCAGGCAGCACCATTTACAAGCTTGGCAGGGCCAGGCCAGGGTTAGTCACAGCTCCAGGCTTTATCCTGATTTTCCTGACGACTCCCTGCATGTTCCTGTATTTTACAAGCCCTGCATGTAACAGCTCAGTCATTTTGTGGGGTCAGCTGTGGATGTACGTGACAGGCTGAGGGAGCTGCAGGGGTTCAGAACATCCAGGGTTTTGTTTCTAATCCACCTGCTTTGCCTCTGGAAGTTGTCTCCACTTGAGATCCCTGCTCAGGGCTGTCCTCCTGGAAGGAAACATTCATCATCCAACCCTCCCTGCTGGCTGTGAAGTGGCTCATGCTCTTGTTCCAGGCTGTTTAAGTGTCCCCAGGAGCTGAGCAATCTGCACCATCCAAAGGAGAATCCAGCCCTTCCAGGGATTTTAATTAAAAAAACCAATCTGCAGGGCCCCTTAGGCTGGTGGTACCAACTCTCCACGTGGCAGTTATCCCATGGATGAAGAGCTTGGATTTCTCCCTACCTGGGCATGGGTGAAGTTTGATACTGCAATTAAAGCTCCTTTCCTCCTCCTCCTCCTCCCAACAGGGCTCTCCAGGGGAACGTGGCCCTGCAGGATCAGCTGGCCCTATAGGATTGCCAGGCAGACCTGGCCCTCAGGGACCTCCAGGACCTGCCGGTGAAAAGGGAGCTCCAGTAAGTACCAGGATGGAGATGGACAGTTGGAGATGTGTGCAGCAGGGAGTTGAGCATGGAACCAGTGCTTGTGGAGATTTAAATTATTAAAAAATAAGGATATAAAGTTCAGCTAGGAAGGAATTTTCTCATCTTGAGCACATCAAACCACTGGATGTCAGCTGCTCAGGTGCCACCCCTGTCAAGCATGGCTGTGACCCCAGGGACTGGTGTGTCCTCAGGCAAGGAGAAGGCCTGGGGGCTGAAAAGGTGCCACAGCCTGTGTCACCTCCTGGTGACAATCAGCCAAGGGCCAGGCCTGTGGGCAGAGAGCTGAGCCAGCCCCATCAGCAGAAGGAGCCAGAGGTGGCTCTGCTGATGTCAGGCTGCTCTTTGATATCAGAAGTGCTTATCAGCCACGCTTGCTGCTTTGTTAGAAACTCCAGCAGCTGATCCAGAGGCAAGAATTTCCTGGTGAATCCGTTTTAGGAACATCTGTCCTGCTGAGTACCTGCAGCATGTGTCAGTCAGGACAGGGATGAATAGGCAATTTATGTGGCATCTAATTTATTTAGAGGAGAGCACCCAGGATTCAGATGTGATTCAATCATGGACGAGGAAACTGGAAAATATTCACTGTTCAGTTCCTGTAAACAAACAAATTTGATTGAAAACTCCTGCTCAAAGGAGTACAAGTAGATGTTGACACAGAGATTGTTTTATTCGCTTCAGGTGATTTTATTTGTCCAGAAACTCAGGATGGGCCTCCTGAGAACCCCCCTGAGCTGGGGGTCAGCCAGGGAGGGAGCAGGACCAGAATCAGCAAAATCTGGCTGGTGGGAGTAAAAATTACTTGTTTGTCATCCCGGCAGGGATGGCAGAGGGTTCAGATTAAATCAGATTATGTTGCTGTAGCAGTGAAATTGCAGCTGTGATCTGGGTATTCACTGCTTACATTTGCTTGTTCTTTTCATTATCCCTCAAGACAGAAGTTTTGTCTCCTTTCAGACAAGGAGCACAGATGAAATATCAGCTCTGCTGCTCCTGCCCGTGCAGCCAGGAGTCATCAGCAGCTGCATAAAACCTTAATGGGCTGTAATGGCTGGGTTGGAGGGTGTGACCTGTTTGTTTTTCTGCTTCCAGGGGGAGAAGGGTCCCCAAGGACCGGCTGGCCGGGATGGCATCCAGGGCCCCGTGGGACTGCCGGGCCCCGCGGGTCCTGTTGGACCTCCAGGAGAGGATGGAGACAAGGTGGGGACAGCTCCTGCTGCCCGGGGTCACTCTGGCACGGACTGGGCAGCGTTTCCACTGTGGTGCACCCCACAGTCGGGTGGGATGTGCTGCTGGAGGGATTTTGTGGAACTCACAGTCCCGTGGGATGAGCAGCAGCAGATGGGGCTTGTGTGCTCTTCCAGCCACAAAATTCCCTGAAATCCAGGTTGGCTCCCCCAAACCTGTAGCAAATACCTGCCCATGGATGCTCAGCCTCTCCAAATTAATTCCCTCTCTCATTAAGCCCCTCTGGAGTGGAGAATTCCCAAGAAACATTAGGGGGAATTCTCCCAGGGAGAATTCCCAGGAAACACTGGGACAAATCCCTGTGGCTACTCAAAGGGTCTGCAGGATGCAGAAATTCCCTGAAATCCAGGTAGGCTCCCCCAAACCTGTAGCAGATACCTGCCCATGGATGCTCAGCCTCTCCAAATTAATTCCCTCTCTCATTAAGCCCCTCTGGAGTGGAGAATTCCCAGGAAAAATCATCTGGGGCAAATCCCTGTGGCTGCTCAAAGGGTCTACAAGATGCAGCTTCATGCATGGCGTGGCAGCCGAGGAATTGTGGGGTGGAAAAGGGTTTGGTTGCACCTGGAGCTGCCAAATCTCTGGAATTCTTCATCCATCCAGTCCCTGTGGGATTTGGGGTGAGGCTGCAGCCCCTCAGGGCTGCTGAGATGTGGAAGTGGTGATGGATTGATGGATTAATGCTGTCCCTTTGCTCCTGGCAGGGTGAGATCGGGGAGCCTGGGCAGAAAGGCAGCAAAGGTGACAAGGGGGAGCAGGTGAGTGATGGGGACTCTGCCGTCGCTGCTTCTCTTGAGTCTGGTTCATTGTGTGACTTGCTGGAAATAGAAATTAAATTTATATCACTTTCTAATGTTGATTCATCTTCTGTGCTTCATCAAATACCCACATGATGTAAAAAAAAGAGTGAGAGCCTCAAGTGGGAGCCTCCAGCTCCCAGGAACATTGAGATATTTCCACATCACCCACTTAGCATGGAAATATCTGTGAAACATGAGCAATGTTGCCATCAAAGTTGGGTCTTTGGCTGAAGTTCCCTTTTTGGTTTAGTTGAAGATGTCTATGTTCATGACAGAGGGGTGGACCTGGTGATTTTTAAAGGTCCCTTCCAACCCAAACCATCCTGTAATTCTGTGGTAATTCCAGTTCCACACCCTGTTGGTGCTGCCCAGAGCCTGAGGAACATGAGTTACCCAGCAGTCAGGGCTGAGTGCTGACATTGCTTTGCTGCAGCAAAAATGTGTTTGGAGGAGTCTGAGGAACGCCGGGGTGTCCAGGGAGGCCTGACCCTGTTCCCCACCTCTCTTTGGGGTGTTAATGCAGTTTTAATGGAGATTGGATTGAAGGAATTCAGCTTTTCCAGGTGAACTTGTCACTCTCTCCTAACACTGACATTTCTCTTTTTTGTCACAGGGTCCCCCAGGCCCCACTGGTCCCCAGGGCCCAATTGGTCAGCCTGGTCCAGCTGTGAGTATTAGCAAAAATCCCTTTTTTTTTTTCCCCAAAAATCCTCCTGGGAAGCACTGGGATGATCCCAGCAGGAACAGGGGGTGGTGGGGTGGGGTTGCTGTGTCCCCACGTCTGTCCTGGGCTGACCCGAGCCTGTCCTTGCAGGGAGCTGATGGAGAACCCGGGCCCCGAGGACAGCAAGGCCTCTTTGGTCAGAAAGGTGATGAAGGACCCCGAGGGTTCCCTGGTCCCCCTGGCCCTGTGGGCTTGCAGGTAATTTACAGCATCCAGGGAGGGTTTAGGTGTTGGGGAAGATGGAAGTTTGACAAGAAAGTCTCACAGATATGTATGTTTACCAGAAAGATTTTTGAATGTAGAATATGAAGAAAGAATAGAGATGGAAGCAAGTTTTGACATAGAAGAAAAGAATTGCTGAGCCAGTCTCACTGGATAACCAAGGAGGCAAAGGGTGTGTGAGTTAGAAGGGGTTTTTATGGCTTAGAGCAAAGGATAAACCCACCCCAAACAAGAAGATGTTTTTACCAAGCAGAAAGAGAGCACAGGCAAACAAGGCAGCAAAGTTGCAAATAGAAAAAAAGGTCTCAGAATCTTCCACTGCAAGAAAACTGAAAAACAACTTCTAGCTTAAACTGTAATGTACTGACTTTGAGTGATTGGAGAACAGTAACATGAATATGGTAATTACAGTAGTTATGATAGGCTATAGATAAAAGCTCAGGTATAGATTGGTCCTACTGGATTGAGATGCTCAGCAAAGAAAAGTGTATAATGCACTGTAACCAAAAAAAAAGTATAGAATGCATTGTAACCAAAAGAAAAGTCTATAATGCATTGTAACCCAAACTCAGGGTCTCCAGGCCTGCCTGCAGCTGGAGCTGGCAGCTGTAGGCACAGCTCTGTCACCACAGCCCTGGGCTGCTGTAACTCCTGGATACAACAAACTGCATTTTGGAGAGCTCCCTGGAGTCCCCCATCCCTCATTCGGGCTCTTACATTCAGGGTGGTGAGAGCTGGGGCTCACCTGAGATGTTCCCAGCTAAAATTCATCCTCTGCACCTCCACAGGGCCTGCCTGGACCGCCAGGGGAGAAGGGAGAAACGGGTGATGTTGGGCAAATGGTAAGGGGCTTCCAAATTTCTTATTTCACCACTGACATTGCTCTGAGAAACCCATCTGAAATTTGTCCTCCTTCTCTCTCAGGGCCCACCAGGCCCACCAGGACCCAGAGGTCCATCTGGGCCACCAGGAGCAGATGGTCCACAGGGTCCTCCTGGAGGAATAGGAAACCCTGGTGCAGTAGGAGAGAAGGTAAAGCACTCTGAGGAGCCTGAAGCAGGAGTTTGCTGCAGCACTCGTGCAGAGCCTTTGCTGTGCCAGCAGAAAACTCATCCCCCTGCAGAAATGTGAATATTTCCATCCTTTTTTTCCATGTGTAGGGTGAACCTGGGGAATCTGGTGAGCCTGGTCTCCCTGGAGAGGTTGGCCTGCCGGTGAGTGCCCCATGGGAGAGGCGTGGATGTGGATGGGACAGCAGGGACTGAGCCAGCCCTGTCCTGGATTTGGGGATTGATGACACATTGCCACGTTCCTGGGTATTTATAGGATCACGTTTAGTCACCAAATCTGGGCTACCCACGGCTGAACACCATGAACACCACTCAGTCCTTGTGGGAAGGGACTGTTAAATCATGTCCTTGTGTTTGGAGACACAAATAGAGCTTCTTTTGCTCAGAATTGATTAAAGGATAATTAGAGATCAGTATGTTTTGGGGTTTTTCCTTGATAATAAAAGTTTTTTTGTCCTTTATAGGGCCCTAAAGGTGAAAGAGGTGAAAAGGGGGAAGCAGGTCCCTCTGGTGCTGCTGGTCCACCTGGCCCCAAAGGCCCACCAGGTGATGATGGCCCCAAAGGCAGCCCTGTAAGTACCCCCTCAGTCTTTCCTTGCCTTGCCAGCAGAGATTTCTGCATGAAAAGGTATTCCCAGAGATATCTGTGGAAATTAAAACTCATTTCCTAGCCATGGAATTGTTCCTCTGGTGATCCATGATCTCAGCCCCATTCCTGAGGGTGCTGATGAGGGAAAGACCCTGCTGTGCCATATTTCCCAGAAATACTGGAATTACCAGGCTGTCAGGAATCTCACCCCATAGGGAGGAGCTGCAGCAGGGTCACTTTGTGTTTATGGCTTTCCAAGGTCTTCTGCACCAGAGCAGAGCTTCCAAAATAGGATCAAGGAGATTTATTGGCTTTGGAGCTGTACCTGCACACCCAGCTCCCTGCTGCTGATTCTACAGCTCTGCTGAAGCCAGTGGAGCTCTGCTGATTTTACCAGGGGACAATGGCGCAGGGTTTATCTTGCAGGCTCCTCTGGTGCCTGAAATTGATGATGAGATAAGGCAAGATGGCACAAAGAAGCAGAGGAGGCAGGGGAGTTTAGTCATCCCTCCGAACAGATGGGATTTGGGATATCTGTGATGGGTTGCAGGCTGCTCCTGGAATCATGTGAAGCACCCGACAGACATTGTATGGGGAGGAATGCTGAAGTGGTTCAGTCATTAAATGCTCTGAGAGGCTCCTCCTGTGCAAAATGTCACACGTTTGCAAAAGCAAAACCTTCCAATCTTCACGTTCCCAAAGCTGGAGGACTCTGCTGTCACCCAGCCAGAGGATTTCTGACAAACTGGGATGGAAGTGCCAGCGTTGCCTCTGGAGCTCTGGTGGTCAGGATGCAGATCTGGAGTGGCTGGGACAGGGTGAAAACACAAAGAGGGGTTGTGGTTGTACAGATTGGGGTTTTACTCCATAGGGTGGCTCCCCACGTTGTCACTGATGCTCTCCAGGTGCAACATCCCTGATTTGGGAATATTCTTCTCTCTTTGCAGGGTCCAGTTGGTTTCCCTGGTGACCCTGGTCCTCCTGGAGAGCCTGGCCCAGCTGTAAGTGTTGGTCTCACAGAGCTTCCTCCCCCTGGGGTGGTGAAGCTCAACTGTGCTGCTCATTCCCAGCAGCTCCCTTGGCATTTCCTCTGCTCAGTGCCATTCACACCCTAAAAACACCTCCTTGTTCCTCTTTCCCTCCTTTTTAGGGTCAAGATGGTCCCCCAGGTGACAAAGGTGATGATGGTGAACCTGGACAGACTGTGAGTACCTGGAGAGATGAGAGCTGTTCCCCACACAGTGCCCATGGCTCTGTGCCATCTCCAGGGGCACTGAGCCTCTCATTCCCACCAGAATTTCCCAGTAGGAATTGCCCACTGAGGATCTTATTCCTTCCTGTGTCATCGATCCATCCTTCCATCCGTCCCTCCATCCATTCATGGATCCATCCATCCATCCATCCATCCATCCATCCATCCATCCATGGGTGGGGCACTCATGCCTTGTTCCCCTCCCCTCTCTCCCTGCAGGGTTCCCCTGGGCCCACAGGAGAGCCAGGCCCCTCTGGACCCCCTGGAAAAAGGGTGAGTTGGTTTTTTAGGAAGATTTTCCCAAAAGCACTTCCATTAACTTTTAAAAACTCATGTTGTTACTAAGCCTACAATAAATGCTGAGTAAATACTGTGTAAAACATGTGATAATTAAGAAAAAAAAAGTGATAATTAAAAAAAATAAAATTATGCACCATCCACAACCATTGGAAATTGATGGGAAGCTGCCAAGCAAATCCCATGGATTTTTTTTTTTAACAGCCCAAAGAAAATCCAAGGATGAGGTACTGCTGCTCTTCCTGCCTTGCTGGCAGAACCCAGGGATTCATTTAGCAAGGAGCTAATTTAAAAAGCTTTTCAGGGATATTTGTCTCCATTTTGCCTCCTTCCCTGGGGCTGCAGCATCATTTTGCTAATTCCAAAAGACCCTTGCAGATCAGCAGCATCTAATTGTGTCTCCCATCTACTCTGGGCTTTCTTTAGGGCCCTCCTGGTCCAGCTGGTCCTGAAGGAAGGCAAGGAGAGAAAGGAGCCAAGGTGAGAGCTGAATGGGATTTCACTTGTGTCCTTGCTAGTCCAAGAGGATCTCCCTCTGCCAAGGCAGGGAGTTGATTTTGCTGCATGTTACAACAAATTAGCCTGGATTTGGGGCCACTGGCCTCAAATCTGAGCTTATGTTTCAGCCCTTAACAAGCTCTGTGGAGATAATTAGGGCTTGCTAAGGTCACGGGAATGTTTTGCCTGGTTTGGAGCATGCAAGTGCTATATTTGGCAGTGTAATGTGTTGTAAATAATGGGGTGTGCAGAGCCCCGTGTCCTTTCCCAGGGCAAACACAGCATTCATGGGCTGGGATTGTTTGGGTGGGAGTGCTGGGGAAATGGAGCTGGGATGGGAAATTACAGATGCCCTTGTGGCAGCACAGGGGAGGGAGGATGGGTGGATGCAGGGGTGTCCCTGAACCCAGGAGAGCTCAGAGCCAAAGGGTGGTTCCTGCTGGAATTCAGGCAAGGCTGGAAACTGAAGGAGTTTGGAGAGTGTCTGAGGTAGAGGGAGCAGCAGGAAAATCAAGGAGCAGAAAGTTTCATTTCCAGTGCTTTGCATGGATCTGCATCTGCTCCATGACATCCTGGCACCCTGTCACAAAATCCTCTGACATCCCAACACAAATTCAACCCCCTGCCTCTTCATCCAGGGGGAAGCTGGTTTGGAAGGCCCTCCTGGGAAGACTGGACCCATTGGTCCCCAAGGTGCTCCAGGGAAGCCTGGCCCCGATGGCCTCCGTGGGATCCCTGGCCCAGTTGTGAGTATTCCCAGCCTGAGAAAGCTCAGCTTTGTTCCTGTGTCCCACCTGCCTGGAAGGTGCCTTTTCCCAGTGCTCTGTCCGTGCTGGAATGCCTGACAGCAGATAAAACATTTCATGGGATTTCATGAGATTTCATGGGAGTAATGGAATGGTGAATATCATCTCCCACATGTTTCATTTGCGTCTTCAACCACGCTCCAGGAGTGATTTTCCTTGACCCACAAAGTCCCTTTTCCAGCAGAGATTTGAGCATGGAAGGAGCATAAATCCTTTTGCTTTTGCCACCTGTGAAAAGCCAGGACAAACATTCCCTGGCACAGGTGAATAATCAGAATATTCCCAGCTTGGAGCACTGCTGTCACTGGGAATGAGGAAATTGCACTTTTTTTACAGGGTGAACAAGGTCTCCCGGGATCCCCTGGCCCAGATGGTCCTCCAGGCCCAATGGTATGTCCAGAACATCCAATTCCAGGAGGTTTTGAGCTGGATCAATGAGTGTGCCATGAATTAATTCCCTCTTTTTTTTCCCCCTCTGTGTCCCAAAGGGCCCTCCGGGTTTGCCTGGTCTGAAAGGAGACTCTGGTCCTAAAGGGGAGAAGGTGAGAATCCATTCAGGATCCCATTGCCTGGTCCCTGCTGGGGTGTGGGGGACAAGTGGCACTGCCCATGGGTCCTGCAGTGGGCAGGACAAGGCTGGGGAGTGTCACCAGCCCCAGTGACAGCTGCAGAGGAGAGCTGGAACACTCTGAGTGTGCCCCAAGGAGCTGAGCTGTGGAGGTGCAGAGCCCTGGCCCATTTTTGGGGTGATTCTCCACCCTATAAACTTTTCTCTCATATAATATCAAATAATATATAATGTATAATGTATAATATATAATATATAATATATAATATATAATATATAATGTATAATGTATAATGTATAATGTATAATGTATAATATATATGTTATGTGTTATGTGTTATATATCATATATATTCTATATATTCTATATATCATATATAGAATATATATTATATATTATATATTATATATTATATATATTATATATATTATATGTATTTCTATAACCCCAGGGAATGAGTAGCGCGCTCCAATGCAGAGGTTCTTTCTCTATTTGTAGCATTTTCTGCTGTAAAAATCTCCTATTTTTGTCCACTCTGCCACTTCCACATGTCAAGGATTGCTACAAACACCTCTCACCTCACTCAGATATTTGGGGTTGGATCTAGAAATGTCTTTGCTCTCTCCAGTCACAAATCCTAATTAACATCTGCTGTTTTCCCCCCAGGGTCACCCAGGTTTAATTGGTCTCATTGGACCACCAGGAGAGCAGGGAGAAAAGGGTGACAGAGGCCTCCCAGGGCCCCAGGGCTCAGCAGGACCCAAAGGGGAGCAGGTAAATATTCCCTAAAACCTTCCTGGAACATCCTTTGGAGCATTGCACCCTCGAGGAGGTGCAGAATAGCAGAGATGGGCAACCCTGGCACGAGATCCTTGGCAGTTTTTGAGGGATATTTTCTGTATTAATGTGGTTTGTTCTGTGTGTGAAGCATGGATTTGCTCCAAAATGACCCATTTTAGTGGGAAGCAGATTCTCAAGGGTCCTATGAAAGAGTTGAACAGACTTGGAGGGATGGTGCCATGAAATATTCATCTGAAGGGCTGATTTTTAAAAGTGTGAGCCTAAATGAGATAAGAGATTCCTTGCCCATGCTCTGAAAACCTGGTAAAGCTCCAGATTGGCTGGAATCCCCCAAAACTGGGTTCTCACGTGTGAGCAGGGGTTGGATGTGTAACTTTAAGCTAGAATTGCTGATTAATATTATTTTCCTGTTATCTTTTAGGGTATCACAGGTCCCTCTGGACCCATTGGACCTCCAGGACCTCCAGGATTGCCGGTAGGTGACAATCGATGACCTTGGAATTCCTTGGGAGCCCTCAGGAGCCACTTTGGTGCTCCCAGGAGTGCCCAGCACAGCCCTGGCTGTTGGAGAAAGTTGGCCACAATGGGGTTTTTTAGCTGAACCCTTTAAAAAGTCTTGGATAAGTTCCAGGAGTGCTGGAAGTGATGTGGGAGATGGGCTGAAGGTGTGGGAGATGGGCACAGGGAATTTGTCCCACCTTGTTTCCCTCCCCCTTTCTTTTGGAATATCCACAATCCCACAGGGATTTCTTGCCCTTTTTGGTGATTTTTATCATTTTTTGGATGCCCAGAGGCCCTAAGCTACCCTGGGGTGCCCATTGAGCACATTCCCACCTTCCAGGAATCACCCAGCAGCTTCCCCAGTCCCCATTGGGGTAGGAGTGTGGAGCTCTGCCCCAAAAGCTTTTTGTCTGTTGGCAAATAAAAGCAACACCCAGCTGAAGTGGATGGGGAAAATTGAAATAGAAAGGGAGTAAATTTTTAAAAAATTTATTTTTTGAACTCTCTGCTTGGAAATGAGCTGACTTTTTTTTTGTATTTTTGTCTCTCCACAGGGTCCACCTGGTCCCAAAGGTGCTAAAGGCTCATCAGTGAGTATGGCCATGGTTAAAGGAAGAGGCTGAGGAGTTTTTATTGAGTGTAGGACATGCTGGGCCTCCCCTCATCAACAAAATTAATGCAATTAGCAGAGAGAACTTAACAAACTCTGCCTTTGCAGGCTGCCTAAGCCCAGCAGTGATAATTGGGGTGCCACAACTGCACTTCCCTGAAGAGCAGAGCAGCAGAGATCACAAGGGGCAATCCAGTGCTCAGTCCTGAGGAGAAAAGGACTAAAGCACTCTCCTGCTGCTGGAGAGTGCAGGGGATTAAAAATAGCCCGTGAAAAGCGGGAGGTGGGAAGGTGGAAAGTGAAGAACTCGGTGAGAAATGAGACTCTGGAGCTTCGTGGTGCAGACCTGCTGTGCAGGCAGCTAAAAATTCCTCTTTTTGGGCAACTTCTTGGTGTCTTTTTGCCATCCAGAATCCGATGTTTTATTAATTTGAAGATTTTATTTGACTTGCAGAAGTGTTGGGTTGGTTGGGAGAGTTAAAGATTTTATGCATTTTAGGCATTCTGTAGGAAGCATAAGAAAAATCTGACTGTAACTCCAGGTGTTTGATCTTTTCTTTCACCTAAACACCAAAAATAACCAAAAATATCATTTTCTGGGGATGTGGATACAGGGAGACTCCTCTTGTGTGCCTGAAGGGACAAAAATGAAGTTTCATCAGTTAAAATAATGTTTGGGATGTGATAAATTCTCCTGAGTGACTCCTGATTTTCCCTTGTTTTTCCATCCAGGGTCCCACAGGTCCCAAGGGTGAATCAGGTCTTCCTGGGCCCCCAGGGCCTCCTGTAAGTAGAACCCATAAAGTGAAGGATGAAATGAGGTTCAGACCTCATGGGTGATGGAATTTGGGAAGCAGAAAAAATCTCTGGGCAAAAACTCCTTTCCAATCCTAGCAATGGGTTGGAATCTGTTGGAGGGAGAAAGGATGGGAAGGGAGGAATTATTGATGGGAAGAGGACAATGGAAGGTGGAAAATGTTGAAGGCAGAGGTTTTATCAGCACCATCCATGGCTGTTTTCCATGTCCAATGTGTATTTTTGGGATGTTGCTGCTTTGTCCATCTCTCATGTCCTTTTCCCGGTGGAATGAGAAGTTGTATCTTATTTTCCCCCCAAAAATCAGGGTCCTCCTGGAGAAGTCATCCAGCCCCTGCCCATCCAAGCTGCCAAGAGGACCAGGAGGAACATTGATGCCAGCCAGCTGCTGGATGATGGCAATGCTGACAACTACATGGACTATGCCGATGGCATGGAGGAGATTTTTGGCTCCCTGAACTCCTTGAAACTGGAAATCGAGCAGATGAAGCATCCCCTGGGCACTCAGCACAACCCAGCACGCACCTGCAAGGACCTGCAGCTCTGCCACCCTGATTTCCCTGATGGTGTGTCCCAGGAAAGGGGGAATGCAGGAAATTCTGGGGGTTTTGCAGCTTCACGCAGAAGTGAGGAGTGGAGAGCAGGAATTTGGGGAGTCCACGGGGGATGTGGCTGGTGGAAAAGGATTATGTAGAGCTGGACTGGATATCACTGGACAGCCCTTCCAGCTGAAATGTTCTGTTCTA